ATTAGGTATCTATACAAAACGACGAGTGGAATTTGTTCGAATGCGTGGACCAAATGTATGTTTATTGAATACAATTGTTTTTTAATGTAAAAGTCATCTGAATAACAAGAATTATCATTATTAATATCTATTAATTGATGAAAATATTTCAATCCTAAAAAGAAATCCTAAAATTATTTCTGTCAGAGTAAACAGCCAGACAGAAAACAATATTTGAGACAAAAATATTACATTTTGTAAAAACAAGTGGACTTATGAAAAAAATACTATCTAGAATTTTATTCCTTTTTAAAGATGTTAAATACACATGGAAAAGATAGTTTTATTATTTTTTTGTCTAAGACTAGAAGTAGAAATTCTATGTTTTTTTTGTTTATATATGTCAACAGACGATGAAGAAAGAATTGCTTTCTATTCGATAATTACTGGTAATCGACTGCAAAATCTCATGTGAGATAATTAATAATACAGAACAGGAATAGATCTAATTAAAAATAAACATTGTCTATGTTAGACATGACCGAAACCAGTTGTTGTTAGTTGTGATAAAAGAAAATTTAGTTATTGTCTCGATTCTGGCAGGGTCAGGGCCATTTTTTCCATATCTGCTTAGAACACATTAGTCATGACAATATGACGTTCGACGTCAATTCTACAAGACGATAGAAGATATTGTTCTCAATGAAAATAAATAGGTCCTAGTCTCCGAAACATCTTACCCGTATCTAGTCTATGGTGACACTATCTTTGATAACTCGGCGTGCTTTCCTATTGAAACAAAAAGATATATATTGTCAGATTCATTTAATGACTATCTAGAAGAATATGGAACGAGCTATCAATAATGTCTAGGTATAATATTTTAGATTAAATTACAGTTCCCAGTATTGTCATGCAATTTTGTAAGTATGATGAAAAAAAATCTATAGCTACACGCAACTAAATATAGTTACAGAAATATGAAAATAATGTATTACATCCAAGAACAATAAAATGTGAAATTAATATTCGTCCGCTAACTACAAATAAATAATTAGTAATATAGATTGAATTAAATAACCTAACTAATAGTCAGATGTTTCATTACATTATTGAAAACAATTTTTTACAAGCAAGAAAAATGTAACAAAGTCATAAAAATCATATTTTCTATGATTATGTTTAACATGATCTACTGTATGGCTGACAACAGTATTTTAAAATTATATTTTTCAATTAGTTGCTTGTGTAGGATAAAAGCACATTCAATTTTCTTTGTTTGTGAAAGCTGAATTTCTTAACCATTAGTGAGCAAATTTTATCAAAACATTTCTTGAAATAAATATTTAATCATTATTTGATTTTTAAGGGCAAAGGTCATGCAGAAATGGCAGTAAGTAGATATCGATCAATTCAATCCGGTATTACAACACCTGAATCAATTCCAACAACACCAATGTCAAGTAGTTTTGATGAAGAAAGTGTATGTTGAATATTTTCTTCTGATATGAAAAAGTTCACGATCTCTCTTATTCTATAGTGGAATAAACGTCGTACTCTTGATAATATTTCAATTAGTCGATGGATACCACCAACAACACGACAACAACAAATAATATCTAATGTTACAACACCTGAAGTTGAATCAGCTGATATTCAACAAGGTTTATTTTTCGATGTGTAAATGAAATAAATATATATTCAAATCATTTTTATTTTTTAGAATTAGCTGATGAAACAAGTGGTTTTCTTGGTCGTACGCTTAGTCAAGCTATGAACTGGATGCGCGGTTCAAGCTCTCGATTGAATCAACCAGTACAAACTCTTCCTCTTCAAACATGTCTTACGTATTTAACATTACCTTGTCAGTTTATTGTGAAAGATATACTTGAACCAAATCAAATGCCGATTCTTACATTCTAATAATCAAAATTAATTAATAAGTCTAATGAAATCCAAAATACATGAATGATTATAAATGTGAACATCGATGTTTTTCTATTCATTTATTTCTGTCTTCTATTCTTTATTTTTGTTTTTTGTTGTGTAATTTTGATGTTAGATATTTGTGCAATAGTCTTGTGTATTTATTCAGTCACATACTTTTGTTTTTTATTTATCAAAAAAAAAAAAAATAACAGTAATTATATATACATATATGTTTATATATTTTCTTTTTTTTTCTCTATATTTTGTCTTTTTATTAACGTTGAAGTAATACATAGACATGTCAATGCTAAATTTCCTTCGTCGTCCATTAAAAGTTTTTATTGATTCAAGACTATTTATCTGTCGTTATCAATCGCAAAGACTATTAGATATATTAAATAAAAAAACTGCAATTGAAACTGAAAATAATGATGAATTAGAAAAATTGCCATTAGAAAATACAATTGAATGGAATAAAAAATTAAAATTCTATCGTATGCGAAATGAAGAAAAAAATGCATTGAAATTATTCGAGATCGGTATACGAAAATATCAATTTCAACCCGATTATATTACATATATTAGTATGCTTGAAATATGTAAAGATATCAAAGATGTTGATAGTGGACATTATATGCATCGAGTTATTAATAAATCATCTGTACGAGATAATAGTCGCATACAAACTCTTTTAATGGTAAGATTATTTATTAATGTTTCTTTTAGAAAATAGAAAAATACATTTCTTTTCTATTCATTAAGGAAATGTATATGAAATGTGGTGATGTGGATAGTGCTCGAGAAATGTTTGATTTATTTAAAAATCGAACAGTAGTGGATTATAATGCACTGATGACGTAAGTTAAGCATAGAAATAGTTATTTCAAGTCTTGATATTTAAGTAAACATCTAAACGTTTTTATTGAAAAATAACCTATAAATAAACTATATAAGAGCTTTTTCGAAAGGTTTCAATTATTTCGAGACAAATTTCTTTTGTCTTGTTGGTATAAAATCGTTAAGTTTGAATTTAATCTATTATGAAATTCTACAAAAATTTTCATATATAAAGATCTAATCATTCTTAATCTGGCATGATAAAGATATCTAAAACATTTTTGTTGTTTTGTTTTTATATGTAGAGCTTATAATACTCATCAATATCCTCAACGCACGATAGATCTTTTCTATGAAATGCGTGACAAGGATAAAGTCAAACCTAATAATGTATCTTATATGTTATTTTTTCAAGCATGTATTAAACTTCAATCATTTGAACAAGGCAAAGCATTACATGAAGAATTAAAACAAAAAACATCAACTTACATGAAAAATAAGGTTAGCTATTCATTTTTATCAAGTTTTCTCTAAAACTCAAGATAGAAAAGTCTTAGCCGTATTTTTATGTGGAGTTAAACTAAATCTGTTTCTATTATTAACAAGAAGATTTATTGCATTACTTATTTTTGTATATTCGAATAACAACATATTGTCAGTTTTTATCAGATAACAAAGAGACCATATTAATTATGATCTGTTCTCAGGCATATAAAAATGCGACCAATGACAGACATCTTCACTGGTAATATCTCTGTGACTGACAGAAGTATCTCCTACGGCTTTTAGAGAACTTAATTTTCTATTTATAGAACCTTTATGAAGAGAAGTAACATCATACATGCCAAGAATAGATTAGATCTAATGAAAAATATGTCGACTAATTTCTTCATTTAACAACAACAAATACACTTAAGATTAAAAAGAAATTAAAAATATATTAATTCAAAATTGAAATTGTTGTATGTGATACAACAAAAGATGTATATAACTGCTTTTGGTGTCTACACTAGTTCACAAGATTTCAAAATAGTTCTTCTAAGCATTTGGATTCAATAAAATAAACAAAAGATCATTATTATAAATTGTTTCATTCCTAACGAGAGGTCGACAAGTTCAGTTCATCAGACTGTGCTATCTGAACAATTTTTATTCTATTTTTGAGAATGGCAGTTCCGAGTTTAAAAAAAACCCTTGATTCTGTTACTGAAATGACGAACAATTTTTCGGACAGTTCATTTTCTTGAACTGGACAAGATATTAGTTTCTATCAAAGTGACTGTTCGAATGATTTTTTGACTCATATGATCTGAAATTTGAACTGGGAACTGATGGTCAATTTCAAGACTCAACATGAGATGTGACAAAAGTCTTTTGCAACAATCTTTTTTTTTATTAAAAAAAACTCACTCATTCTGAAATAGATATCTTTCTCGCCGAAATATGGAATTGGTTATAAATAAAATTATGAAATACAGAGTTAAATGATATAAAATATCATAGTATTACTGGAAACAACATATATGTTCAGAAATTTTCTTTTCAATATTTAACGAGCGTGAAGTAGCATGAGATAAATGAGATATAACGAAAAACTTCTCGTCGCATCTCATTTCATGTGAGACAAAATTATTAAAGGTAGCCTTATCCCACATGATTCAGTTTGCGATAGCTAGTTCTATGAGACGATTTTTTTTTCGTCCCATTCCGTCCTACTTGCGGGCCTGGCCGACCCCTAATGTTAATAATGTTGTATCAATGTTGCACGAATTTTGTTTTAGGAATTATCGAATCAAATTATAGCTATGTATATTGCATCCGGTGATTATACAATAGCTGAAGAATATTTTAATCAAATTAAAGAACCAAGTATATCAAACTATGTTGCACTTATGAATCATTATAATCAATTAAAAAATTGGGAACGTACTACACAATTATATGATCAAATGAAAATGCAACGTAAAATTCAACCAGATATACCAACATATTTAACTGTTTTAACAGCTATCAAAGAAATGAATAATATTGATAAAGCAAAACAAGTTCAAGAAGATATATTAAAACAAAATCTCTGGCAAAATCATGTTGAAATACAAAAATTATTAGAAGAAATTTTAAAGATATCTAATAAATAGTAAAATTAACTTTTGTTATTTGTTTCAAAAAAAAAATAAAATAGAATAAAATAAAAAAAAATGAAAAAGAATTATTCTTTCGAAGAATAGAAGAAAAATGATTTCTTGTTGTAGATAATGGATTCGGAACAAATGACTAATGATCAAGAATATTTTGAATCATATGATAAATTTCAAGTTCATGAATTAATGTTACGTGATCGTCCACGTGTTAGTGCTTATTATGATGCAATTATGAATAATAAAAAGCTATTTGAAAATAAGGTAATTTACTAAATGAAGATAATATATTTGATGCATAAATTTTTAACATTAGGTTGTACTTGATGTTGGATCTGGAACAGGAATATTGAGTATGTTTGCTGCTAAAGCAGGTGCTAATCTCGTTTATGCTGTTGATGCATGTCCAACAATATGTGATTTAGCTGAACAATTAATTAAATACAATGGTTTACATGATCGTATAAAAGTGATTAATAAACGTGTTGAAGATATTGAAAAATTTGATGAAAACATTGATATTATTATTAGTGAATGGATGGGTATGATTTTATGAATATTTAGAAATAAGACAGTAATCTCTTGTTTGATTCTAATCACTAGAAAAGTGTATCGATTAGATAAACAAATTACTTTATTTTGTTGCTAGTATTTCGATCCTAATCTTTTTCAGAGAATATCTTTCTTTTATTAAAATAAGAAATTGTATATATATGAAGTTAATTTCGAAATATCATATTTTGGTTTTGTTCTAAGTCACAAATATTATACTATGCTTGACATAACAAAAATAACCACGATCTTTTAATTCGATTAAATTGAGTACATAAAACTAGGCTATAACATAACAGTCATATCGGACACATTCTTGTGCTTTTATTCCCTTTCATAATTTTAATAACTGGTTCACAAAAGATATACTTGACAGTCAAAATTATCATTGTGACTTGTTGATACTAGTCTAGACCAACTAGAAAATGGAAAAATTTATCAGTTGATTAGGAGTGTTATTTTACCTTTTCTTTATACGATAAATATTATATTGATAAGCTAAAGATAATTGAATTCTTTATTTCTCAAAATAACGAATAAAGAAAAAAACATCCTTTTTTCATAATAGGTAAATAGACAAAGACTTTGTATGACATCAGGATATAGTAATTGATATTCTTTCTTATAACCAGCATCAATGCGATATGTGATATTATTAAAAAATCAAATTGATATATGAAAAACATATATATGCAAAAAACTTTTGTGTTTGTTTTATTTCTCTCTATGATATTATAAATTTTTGTTAGCTACCTAATAAAAATTAGGTTCTTCTACATTTGTTTTTTTTTTTTTGTTATCATCGATATTTTGTATGAATTATACCTCATTTAATATCAATGATATTCTTCAATTCTTATCGATTTCAACTAATAGATTAAATTCTATTCCATGTTCAAACTTCTTTTTCGAAAGAAAAAAAAAATATCTTATTGTTTCTTGTACCCAAAATTTTTATATTTAGGTTTTTATCTTTTTCATGAAAGTATGCTTGAATCAGTGATATATGCTCGTGATCATTTTCTTCATACATCATTACAAAATGATGATAATACATCTGAACAAAATGAATCAATTGTTATTTTTCCTTCTCATGCTTATTTAGTTAGTGCATTATAATTTTTTCTTAATTATTTTTATACTCAATATATTCATTTTATTTTTAGTATTGTGCTCCATTTATTGATCAACATATACGTATTGAATTAAATACAATGTGGAATGATTATTTCGACCTGAATTTTTCACCTATTCGTCAACATATAAAAAATTCTGATCTTCGTGAATGTGTTATTGAAACAATAGAACCATCACAACTTGTTCATGATGCTCAATTAATTCAATCAATTGATCTTCGTACTGTACGAGTTGATGAACTTCGTTCCATGCGTTCATTTTGTGAATTTTATATTGATAATACATGTATTATATCAGGTTTTTGTTTTTGGTTTGATTGTTATTTTTCTTCAAATAATAATTCATCTATATTACGTTCAACACGTTTAACAACAAGTCCACATGCATCTAAAACACATTGGAAACAAACACTTGTTTTTTTACCTGAAGATATTTATCCATTAAAAGATGATGTTGTACCAGTCAATATTAAATTAAAACAATCATCTACAAATCGAAGACATTATAATTTAACAATATCAATTAAGAAAATCAAAGAAAATTTACATAATAATAGTGAAAAAAATCAAGAAGAAAATTTATCAAATCAATCGGATACAAAAAGACGACGCCGAAGACGTTCATCAACAATGTCATCAGATAAACGTAGGATATCTGAAAATGAAACAATGGATACAACAAGCGATAGTACTTCGAGTGACTCGGATAATGATAGTAATGAATCAGGCGAACATCCTATTCCATGTTCATGTGATCGTGACAGATGCAAATTAATAAAAACAATTATTGACAAATATAATGAAGAAAATATTGTAGAATAGAACGTTCATTGAATTGTTTTTTTTTCTCAGCATGTTTTTTTTGTTTTTAATGCATGATTATTAAACTCATAGATGTTATATACTTAAATGAAACTTATTCAGTAGAAGAGACTTTGACCATCCCATAAAGAATGCTTTTCTTGTTTTTTTTTGTTTTGTTCTAGATAAATGGATGGTCATTTGCGACGATCACGTCATAATAAATTTCCGAAACAACCTCGAAAACCTCATCCAACTGCTCTTCGTCCTATTATATCTGGTGAAGTATCTCCTCAATTTCAACATCAGTCAGAAGCTTCAACAGCGCGACCATCAGGTAGTGTTAATTCAGATCGATTAAATGATATTATTGATGATATAACATCGGAGGGTGATGATGTACGTGCTGGATCATCATCAAAAGTTTCAACAAAATCAACATCAAATTTAGTTGAACCAAATTCCCCTCCGATAAATGATAATCATTCATCACTTTTTATATTACCACCGGCAAGTACTTATAATCGAGATCGTACATCATCAACACAAAGACCAGAGCGAAAAAAGAATTCAGGAAAAGATAAAAAATCAAATCAACGTGGAGACAGAAAATGTTTTTCTCCAACACGTACAATGGATGATAGGACCGATCCAAACAGTCGAAGAAGATCAATTGGTGAATTTCGTCGACATCAATTAACTGAATGTATGGAATATTATCGACATTGTCTAGAATCAGCACAAAATTCAAACACAATAATTATGAATGATGATCCAACAAATACTGATAAACGAAAACAATATGCAACAACACTTTGGTAAGATATAATTGAAGCTCAATAGTAAAATTAGCTTGTATGCAAATAACATGAATTAACTCCTAATTAAATGAATTTAGATGAGTTTTGAGTACTCATATCGATCTTTCCGATGAAATCGCCTCTTATAATAATACAAATAAAATAAACATGAGAATATGATTATAAATTGTTGGAAATCGATGAATAAGATTATCTAATAAAACAAAGAACGTATTTCATGGTTACAAAAAGAAAAACTATTGCTTAAAAATAAAATGATTCCAAAAGTGTCTCGCAAAATATATTATATCTTAGGACGGAGCAGACTTACAGCAAACAAAAGAAATTACATTGCAAGACAATTATTAATGAATTATTTAAGGATTGAGTTTTAACTCGAAATATTAATGCTAAATTTGCTTACCTTTAACCAAACACTAGAGAAACACGTACAAGAGGAATAACTGCCAAGTTTTAAACAGCTTAAAGATACAATCTAACAAAAACTAGAACAGAAAATAATAATAATAATAACTTGTAATGATTATGGAAAAAAGAGAATAATTAATCAAGTTTTTAAGAGGCTTAGCCAAATAATAAAAAGTGGATTAGAATACAAGCATGATAGTTAAATAAGATTTTTGTGTAAGCTGATTAATATATGTATTTTAAAATATATGGAATCCCAAAAGATAGGCACGAGTAAATTGTGCATGAAATAACAAATTCTTATTAACTGTCTTGCGGGTGAAGGAATGCGCGTGTACAGGTATAGTTGAGCAACAATATGGTTCCTTTCTTGACTCATCTATTATTAAATAGTTAACATGCTTTTATTATTTCATTCGCAAGATTCGTCATAAGCAATTTAATCGTGTGTATCCTTCCGTGCGTAAGGTTCATGGTTTATATTTTTCTTGGACTTCAAAAGAGGACGTCATGCAATAGAATGTCTTTAGGAAGACTAATATGATCACTCTCAGCTTATATAGAGAATTGTTCAAAATTATGATAGCAAGGTATTTTTAACTTTATTTCTTTGATACCGAGTGTCTAACTCAAATCCAACTAGTGTTTTTCATAGCTAAATAAGTTCTCTCTCAGTTGCATTCTATACTAAAGCTTCATACTTGAACTGTGTTGGAAAATTCTCTAAAAACTTGCACACGATATTTTTCAGATGGCAAAAGACACTTTTCAAGTTAGCTATAGCAGTACTATCTGAAAGAGCAAAGACTTTATCATAATATGAGAGTTACCGTGTTTTGTAAGACTTTTCCTTACAGAGTGACAAATATGAGAAAAAAATCGTCGAAAAAAGATTTTGGTTTTTGTGATATTTGAAACTCTGTAAGTGACGATCATAAAAACCTGGTGATCTCTCATAGTATTTAGAATTTTGTACTCTTTCACATGGTATTGTTAATGAAAGAACTCTCAAAGTCTAGCTACGGAACTTCGACATAAAGTGAATGTGATAGAGAACTTTATCGGCTATCGAAAGTACTATTGGAATTTCAGTTAGAAAAAACGAGTTCCTATTTGCATATAAACAAACTTTTTCTAGCCTCAAGACTTATTAAGTATCTTGTTTATAGGTATGAATTAAAAAGATTTTTTAATGGAATAAATCCATCTGATGAGAATGGTATTGAACTAGAAAAACGTTCAATTGAACAAAAACGAAAAAAATATCTTGATGAATTTCATTTTGAATTTACTCATTGTGATTTTGAACACACACATCATTATCATGATAATTCACCAATACAACGTCGTCATTTAAGTGAATTTCATATAAATTATTGTCATGAAGTTGATAGATCAATAGAGAGATTATTTTTAAAATGGGATCAAATTTTATCATTTTTTCCATCCTATGCTGCACTTGAACAATATGATAAACGTTTTGATTCACGTACAAAAGAAGGACGAATGTTTTATGAAAAATTAACTGTTTACCAAGCTTGGTTTAATTTAAATTCCGAAATAAATCGTTTAATCCTTGTTCTTGGTCGTATTATGGCATGTACACAATGTCATATGTGGCCAAATGTATCATGTTCATCAGCACCTAAACTTAATGATAATGCAACAATAAATGCATCTCGTCCACCAACACCTTCATCAACATCAAGTAATGAACATAAAGATATATTTGGTGCATCTCCATCAAATTCATCATATTATTTAATAAGTCAAACACCATTAAAACATCAATATTCCACTATATCAAATTCTTCACGTATGTCAACATCATCATCATTTTCAACAACACCTGAAATACCAACTAAACGACAACATACTATAACTTCAGTGCCTAGTATGGATAATATTTATCAATATTTAACATCAACATCACCATTAACAGAATATTATTATAGGTAATAATTGATTTAGGATGTCCATATATGCTTATATGAATTAATTCATGTCGCAAGTTTGATTGCAGCACCCCCGGTATACCACAGTACTTATAAGGACCGGTCTCAGATTGCCAGTTTGAGAATAACTATCAGTATATAGCAGTAGATTAGTAACTAGAAGATACTCAACCGTTTAAGTATCAAACTACTGTCAGTATAGTGCATACTATATCAAACGGTTTTTGTTTGGTTCGAATCATATGAGAAGATTTGCATTAATCGAAAACACTCTATCGCCATCAGTCTAACAAGTATCCTAGTAAAAACATAGAGCATGCAACTTTCTATCTATTTTTTTATTAAACAATTTATTTTTGTCACTAGCTTTAATGGATAAAGGTTTAACGTAAATTAATAACTGTCTGCAGATAATACGATATTGCAGTAAAAAGCTGCGTAGGCGTGAAACTTTTAAATTTGAGATCGACAAGGTTAAACTAATTTAACCAAAGTAAAGTTAACGATTTTGTGCAGCTAGAAATTCTTTATCGTTTGGTTTGTAAAGAAAACTCCTTATTAGAATTCACTAGAATGATGACAAATCAAACATTAGTTTGATTTTTAAGTATAAATCTTTCCGTTAGATTTCAGTAACTGATACTTTGAGTTAAACTACCTCTTCTCAACAATCGATCTTGACGCAGATATATTCAAATCGCATGAAATTTTCAGCCTTATGCCATAATGTTTTAGGGGACATTCAACTAACAAGGGTTAAAAATAGTTTGTTTGACAACTCAAAAACCATTGTGGGCCTTCTTTTTTTGTTTGAAAGAATATGTCAGAATGTAGGGCATGGCCGAGCTCTTTGTTTTTAATAAATTCTGAGTTTTGAAGAGAAGAGCATTTCAATGTCTTAACGAATGACGCTCTAAAGATAGATATACTGTGTTATATAGTAGTACTAAACCTTAATTCATAAACCAAACTTTATCATGCCCTGTGTTGTAACATGGTTTTTCGAACAAAAACGAAACCCATTGGCTGCAATGAAGCGCCTTCGAGAATTTTGAAATGCGCAATTAGAAAGAATATTTTTCGAGCAGAAAAATGATTGCATTTTTTGGAAAAAAACGGGATGCCAAGTAAAAATATTATGTCATTGATAGAAGATTAAACCACGGGCTATCTTCCCATGTATTTATCTTAGTTTTCATGTTTTTCACAAAAATGGACTTTTGTTTTGAATGGTTAGGACTCTTCATAGATTACATATGTAATGTAAACTAGTCATATTATTTCTGCTGTAATTATCTATTTTATAATTTGATAAAAGAAATATTGCATTAAATACCTAATCTATGATGTAATAGTCATGAATATTATTTCATTTATAATTAATGTTCTGTCAAAATTCTAGCAAGCAAAGATCACTAATAAGAAACAATTTCTTATTATTTAAGACAAGTCTTTATTTTCAAATGTTAACCGATTAAATTTGAAATATGTTTAAAGAAGGTGTTTCAACGCCTAGTTAATTAATATTGTATATGAAATACTATATAAAGATCTTTAGATATATTGATGATCAATTAACACATGCTCGAATTGAATTAATAGCCAGTATATTTCGTTCAAAACATGGTCCATTATTACAACGTTTACGTTATATATTTCGAAAAGAACAAACAACAAGTGGAAACCTTACAACAACAACAACAGTCGATTCTATAATTAAAAATCATCCATTATTACCAGCTAATATTGTTCCAAATGATTATTTACTTGATGCTGGACCTGATAAATTAATTGATGAATTTTTAACACTAAATAAACAAATACAACAACAAAAAAA